TAACTTTTACATGAAATGTTTTGTTATTTCCTATCAAAAGTAAATTAACTAATAACCTGCATTATTGCAGGACACAGCAAAATATGGACGCTGCACCATGAGGCAGGCACACGTCACGATTCTATAAGAGCACATAAGGTGAGCAACACCACAGGTTGTTATTATTATTATTGTACACTGTCCTGGATCAGTTTTCTTTCTGCATGTGTTATGGAAATGTTATAGTTCATTACTTTAGTCCTATTAACAAATCTTTTAATTGAATGTCCTGAAAGCATTCTCTCTCTCTCTCTCACACACACACACACACACACACACACACACACACACACACACACACACACACACACACACACACACACACACACATTCTTGTCCTCCCATACACACACACACTTGATCCACTCCCGTTCCTTTCTTATCTCTTTGCATAAATAAACTTTGTGACCAGATGTTCGGGGCATTTGCCCAGCGCACTTGCCACAGATCATTATTTGGTTGTATGTCTGCCTTTTTGTTTCTTGTCCCTCTCTCTAGCTGCAGGAAATGGGTTTATTGATAAACATATTGATAAAATCCCTAACAGCATGTCATCATTAGCCTGGCTAATCATCTGATAACTCCTGTCATCTGGTTATGACAGCATGAGGATGTCCTCACACACCTGTAACCTATCAGCTTATCTGGCAAAATAGAGAGAGAAGAGACAACACCACATTGCGTCTTCCTGGAAAGTCTCTGGCCATCCTTCGATGACGGAGAACCACCATCCAGCTCTGTCTCCAGTCTGCCAACAATTAGTATAATAAATGCTGAATGTGTTTAACAAGTTCTTTGTGCTGCCACAATGTCTTTTTATTCCAGCTATGTTAACATTTTAATGGATATTTATAAATTACATTTATTAAATTATCATTACTTTGTTGCACGTTTAACTAGCTCTAATGTGATAAATTAAATTAGCACCTCACTGTTAAAAGCTCATTTTAAATTCAAGTGTGTTTAAATACATTTCTGGACATGAACAAAAACAGTAAATATATAATTGAGATTTATTTAATAAAACATATTAATAACAGAGGCCCAGAGAAGGGAGAAATCATTCAAAGGCACAATCTTCTGGAAGCTCCTGACGACATCACCCAGCTGCTAACATCAGAGGATCGCCTACGACCAAGAGAACAGCTGGTATCAGTTAATAATGAAGTCAGGGGAATTTTAGTGGGATGTTTGTGATTGTGTAACATAAATGAACACATTACAGAATAATTTTCTCATGGGGTATTTTTATAACTTTCTCTGCAGCAGACAGTAACTTTAGCCCAGGGTAGGTGGCCGTGTCCTAGAGAGCTGCTATCGACACGTTTCAGTGGTTTTCCTGCTTTAACAGGTTAGATTAGCTGTTCAGCAGCTCAGAAATTTGGTGCTGATTAAAATAAGGTGTGTTGATGCAGATAAACCTCTAAAACATGCTGGATAACAGCTCTCTACGGCCGTGGGGCCGAACCCTGCAGCTAATCTAATGCTATGGCTAACGGCTACCTACCATTCAGAGCTGGTTCTGTTGGGTCGGCTCCGGTGGTTTCAGGCAACTCACAAGCTCAAAACAATAAGGCTCAGGTCCGCTTGTCTCCTCCAAATGGACTTGGTCCCTTTCTTCTCGACTGTCTGGGTAAGGAGGGGGAGAAACATCCTCCACTTCTAATGACTGCTCAGAGTGAAAAAAGCTAGCTTCGTGTCGTTACCCATCCGCCTTCGTCACTGCCGCGGCTCCTCCCTCTCGGTTCGCCAGGCAGCGCCTACTAAAGTTGCATTTTTCAAAATTGATATGTGGGTGGAGAAGGACTCTGAGGAAGGCTGGACAATTCCTTTAACAAGCTGTGAGCTTTAAAATCTAGAGGGATTTTATGATCTGGTGAAGAGGATGGTGGAGATGCCGGTGTGGACTGGTGTGCAGCGAAGTAAACCGTTGTGCTGTTCGTTCTGCGCCGCTGATGCCTCTAGTGTGAAGGAGGTGTAACGGTCAGCTTCTACTGGCTAAGACCAGCTCTGTTCTCTCCGCAATGCAAAATCAACAACAGCCTTCCAATTGGGTGAGCTAGTAAAGAGAGCAGAGAGTGTCTTGGTGATAGTGACTTTGCAACGTGGCTGAACATGTTTTGTTAGCTAATCAGAAGCGAGGTGTGTGCAAGTCATTAATAATAGTAATGAGTAGTCCTGCTGTTTTCATCCCACCTCTGCACCAGCAAAGGATGACTCATAAGGCATTGATTTACACTAGAGAATACTGAAAATGTATTGAATAAACAAGTAAACCGCACCTTTAAAAATAATCACACTGATAGAGATGGTTGCAAAAACAAACACAACAAAACTACATGAAGAATGAACTGACACCAACGAGACCACAGACAGACAAACAGTGCTGATTTAATTCACTGAATCTCAGCACCAACAGAGCGTATACCACATTATTAGAAAACCCGGGTCCTCACAAAAGAAATGACAATTCATTTCCCATCTCAAGATGAGAAATGGCATTGTGTTACGGGGAGAAAAATCATTCAAACAGCCAGTTTCTCTCATGTCATCTAATTTGTTTGCAAGATACAAAAGAGCTAACTGAGCTGGGACTTTTAACAGCAACTCACCCCTCACACCCACTCCACACACCCAGAAGTAATATGTTAATAATCATAACTATTAATTACTTTTTTCTGCCTTTATGTATCAGATCACTAAACTGTAACACAGTTCTGTGTGACTATCAGATGATTTGTGATGAGCCCTCCTGAAACGTTTAAACAAAGAAACGCACCAAATTCTAAACTTTATAAAACTTGTAAACACTGAACCGGCTCACTGCACAGAAAAAAAATGACATCCTGCAATGTAACTCACATCTAAGTACAGCTCCAATAAATAAATCATATGTAATCACAAGATGTAAACAGAGCTTTTTAAAGAAAGCGAGCCACAGCGACTACACTCTACTTCTGTATGGATGTCGCATTATGTCAGGCAGTTTATCCCTTCATGTAAATGCTTGAAGAATGTGTCAGCTGTGATCTATGTGCCACAATGTGCATTGTGCCAAGAAGTTGGCAGATCATCAGCTAGATAGAGAATGAAGCACGGTGCTGCATGGCTCTACGAGTAAAGCGAGCAATGTTTGTGTGGCTGAAGCAGGGGCAGAGGGGCCTCCTGCTTCGTGAAACTGCCCTCGCTCTCCCTCCTCAGCTGACACACAGTATCACCTGTCAAAGTACTTTGATAATTGGATATGAGGGGTGGAGTGGGGATGGGAGGGATCACAGTCCTTCCACTATAACCAACGACGCTGTCAGCAGCGTCACTGAGAACCAGCGTCTTCTCGCATTATGGGCCCGGACTAAGCAATAGGCTGGAATATAAATGTATTTTCAGGGCGGCTGACAGAACAGGAAAGCAGATCACAAATCATCCGGCCCAAAGTTGCGTTCACCTAGCCAGCAGGAGACGGCCAGTAAATGTTTACAGCTGCATGTAAAAATGCTAAAAATATCCTGGCCTTCTCCGAGAATGACAGTGTTCTCTTTCACCGTTACAACCTAAGGACACAAAAACAGTTATAATAGCAAAACACCACCGTAAGGTGAGTCCAGCAAGAATCAATGACGCTGGGTTTTTAGAACACAATCAGTGAGAATAAATGTGATGTGCAGTAGGTCTTGACTTCAAATCAGACACCCTGTTTTTCTAATTATTAGCAGATTAGAATAAAAGCATCCAACCACCTCTCTAAAAGAATAGAAGCTGTCATCAAATAAAATGTTTACTACACTGTAAGAAATTAAATGTTGAATTTACTTAATCAAGTTATGTCAGCTGGTTCAACTAAACCTAGTTTAGCTTAGCTTAAAAGTAAAGAGTAATATACATTTACTTTAAACTTAACAGCATAAATTTACATTTAAGCAACTATGTTTCGTAGAACCAGTTGACATAACCTGTTGAAGTAAATTCAACATTTTATTTCTTACAGTGTAGCTTTTTATGCCACTATTTTAAAGAGTGGGTTCACTGAGAAACAGTTTTTACTTGTTATTTTTAAAATATAATCGGTCGCTCTGGGTTTCACATGCAGGAGTAACATGAAAATACTCAACAACCCATTTCCTGCATTAGCCGCTGATAGATAAAAGACGATGAAACTCTAGGATTAAAAAAGCCTGTCAGATCTGCGTCATACTGAAAATTAGCATTCATGTATTCACGCATCGCGACGTGAAAGATTGTTGTTGATTTAGCATCTAGGAGAGACCAGAGCCCGCTAGTAGAAGCTAACTGTTAGCATTAGCAACTGCACAAAATGGCAGAACTCTTTCAGGCTTGTGTTATTTGTGCAGTAAGTACAGAGAGGGTTCACTGAGAAACAAAGCCAGTGGTAGATTTGCATTGTTGTTAGCCAATCAGAGATGAGATGTGAGAAAATCATAAAATGAAACTAAATCCTGCCGTCTTCTGCGCCCCACTCCACTGGCCAAATTCTACCTCCTCAAACAGGAGCGCCAGAGCTTTTCTCCCCACAGAGATCAACTCACAAGACATTCATTTTTAGAGGTTGCTGCAAATGCATTAAAAAAATGAGTGAACGTGGTCTTCAAGCATCAGTGGACATAATTCAACAGATCAATTTTTTAGAGTGTACCTTTTAATGCCGTTATTTTTATATTCTTGTCCTACATGCTTAGGTTTCTTTTAATGTCCTACATTCTGGCCCAAGGGGATTTTTAGAATAAATGCAATAAGTATTAATTTTGTTTGAATTATTCTCTGTCTTTCACCTCACCTCCCTGCTTGCCCTTATTAGACAGAGCAAATGGAGCTATGGATCTGAGTTACCTCGAAAAATTATGACAAAGCTGTTCTTCTGGGGGGAAAAAACACACCAGTTCTGAACAAGCTGAACTGTTCGTGGAAGCATGTCTAACACCATTATTTTCGCAAATTCTACTTACTTTGTTGGCTTAATGAGCGGACTGCTCCCTAATCGAAACGATGGCAGGTCCTCTTTGACTGTTCCCTTTCGGAGAAGAAATGTTTCTGTGAGATCATATCCTGCGAACAAGATGAACAGGGTGTTACTACAAGAGCTAATATTGACTTTCCTGAAGCACAAAGCCAATTCTTTCACTTAGCTCCTACCTGAGTATTCCAGAGGATGAGATAAATTATCAGAACACTTTTGGTCCTCCACAGTCAGAGGGGGACACGAGTGATCTAGACAAGGAGCATCAGGAACTTGTTTTTAGCAGAGAACCCTTTTTCTTTCTGAATTAATGTATATTTCAGTAATGTGGTGCTACGGAAACAAACTTAACGAACGCACATACCTCTAATGTCAATTACTGTCAGTCCGAAAGTGTAAGGAACAGTTTTCAAAGCCCAAACAAAAGCAACCCATCTCAGTAAGAGATCAATCATGGCTCTGGTGCTGGAAGGCTGCTCACCTGACAACCTAAACACAAGCAGAACATTTCATTTTTTACTTCAAGCATCCATCCATCCATCAATTTTTTTCCACTTGTTGGAGGTTGGCTTGCAGCAGCCTAAGCAGAGAGGCCCAGACTTCCCTCCCTCCATCCACTTGGGCCAGCTTCTCTAGGAGGATCCTAAGGTGTTCCCTGGTCAGCTGAGAAACATAGTCCCTCCAGTGTGCCCTGGGTCTTCCTTTAGGTCCCCTCCCAGTTGGATGTTGCTGGAAAACCTCAGCAGGGATGCGTCCAGGAGGCATCCTGACCAGATGCCCTCAACTGGCTCCTCTTGAAGTGGAGGAGCAGCGGATCTACTCCGAGCCCCTCCCGGATGACAGAGCTTCTCACCCTATCTATAAGAGAGAGCCCAGACATCCTGCGGAGAAAACCCTAACCCACTACCCAAAGCTTGTGACCATAGATGAGGGTTAGATAGACGGGTAAATCGAGAGCTTCGCCCTCCAGCTTATCTCTCTCATCACCAGAGTCCAAGAATCATGTTTGGGAAAGTTATGTTAAATGATGAACCCCATGTGTAGATAATCTTTCAAAGACATATTCTCGCAAATGTGTCAACAGATATGGAAGTCAGAATTTGGATAGTGTGATGATGAATGGGTGTAGAGTCTTTGCTGAAAGCTGTGAGAGCAGCTGGTGAAGCTGGCAGCTCCTGCTTATCAGAGCTGAGGAGTACTACGGGCCATGTCCAGAAACTGTACTGGTCGGGATCCGTCCAATTATAATTTGAATGGAGTGAGCAAACTGGGAAGGGAGAAGTCTGAGACCTAGTTTTGAGGAAAAGTAGTTTACTATGATCTGTGTAATTCAGTCAAATTCTGGAGTCTGTAAAAAACAAATCAATGCAGAATAACACAATTTGTGGTTTGGTGATTTGTTTATCCACAAACATTTACCAGCTAATCACAGACACAAATTAATCTAGCTAACGTCCCTCCGATGGTTTTGTTACAAAAATTTGTTTTTCTGCCGGTTCCGGCAGAAGCGTCTCAGGAAAAATACCTGAGGGAAGCGGTGAGTGTTCCATGATCGTGTTTGTGCACTAAGCCTAGCTTGTTTGCAGATTTGCTATAACAGCTTTAATCTAACCAGAAACACAAACAACTTGACACCACTGTGTTGATTTAAAACGCTATGGAAGGTAACTTAATTAATTTGCAAAGGTCTCTACTAGGTCAGTAGGTCTGTGAGGATTTTCAAATACTTGAGTTTCACCGTCTGTTTTCTATCAGAAGCTAATGCAAGAAATAGAGGTAGGAGACTATTTTCATGTTCAGCCTGCATGCTAAATTAAAAGTAACTGATTATTAAAAATAATAATAAGTAAAAAATTGTTTCTCTCTTTAAAGGTCAACAGATTCCCCCAACAAGTTTTTCAACAAATAACTTCCCATGCATATTGCACCTTTGTGAAGTTATGCAGACCTTGGCCACAGGTCCCTTAAACCATTGCACAATGAGGAACATGTACCTGTAAGTCCTTCATTCTTCTGATCTCATTAGCATCGCCCACATTGTGATGAATGCGGATGTCAACAGCATGCTGCAGCAAAAGCCATTAGCCCTGAGTTATGTTTATGTTAAAAGGTTTGGTTGTTAACTAGTTAGCCAAGGTGACCTTGTTAAGCATTTTTAATTTGTACTGCAAATGAATTAACCTGTAGCGAATGTGTGTCAAGGTAATTACATTAGGAGTTCAACACAACGTTGACTCCTTATGTTCTACCTTGTCTGTTATTTGTCACAGTGTCAGAGCCTTGATCTTTCTCTTTTAGCACTGCGGTGTGTTTGTATCTGGGGAATGTCTTCGGGGCCCTGGTCAAGGACAGCATTTACGAGGACCTAACCTAGGGAGCCCCAGTTTGAAAGCAGTCCCTTGAACCATTTGCCCCTGCTGCCAAATCAAATCTTTAGCATTGCACTTGTGCCTGTGCCGAGACAGAACGGAGTAAATAAAGTCCCTGAGGGTGGAGTTGGTTTGGTGAAGAAATGGATTAACCCACCTTTAATTTGGACATGTTATGCAAAACTCACTTGTGCATCCTTTTGTGCTCCCATGTAGGTCTCTATTCTCTCTATAAACACCCCAAATGTGAAAAAAAGCATCCATCTGTTTTCGGTCAAGATTTGGTTTTCAGAATTATTTGCCTAAAAAGAGACGTTTCAAAAAGTCCCTGTTTGTGACATCACAAATGGAGCAGATATTGGAGCTTCTCAGTCTATAGCAGCCTAAGCAGGGGAAGTGCGGCCAACAATGGCATAATTTCTTAAAATGACAGAACCCTGGAACGGCTCATTCTGGAAGGTACTGAAAATGTCAAGAGTAAAACTGCTGAAATCACTTTATCTGAGAGGGAGAACTTAAACAGGTTTTGTATAGAGCTAGAACTATTGTAACCTAAGAAAAATAAGTCATAATGCATGTTATCAGGACCTGTACCCACAGATAAATCTCAATACCCACATAGTTTGGCACACATTACATATAACACATTAGATCTGTTTTCCTCCCAAAAACTACGAAATTATCATAATTCTAGAGAAAAGGGCTTTTAGTGGCAGGTAAACAATATTTTAGTGGTAATGTATCCATAATCTCAGGATTTTAATCCTTGCTTTTTGATTGCATAATCTGCTTCCATGGGGACACAAATCAGCTGTTGACTACATTTAAAAAACACACATCAGAAACTAATAAAACTCCAATTAACAACATCCCCAAGCACAGTGTCATAAACTCGGTCTCCTAATCTTTTCCTGACATATCCAAATTAGTTTCCCTCCAGGGACAAAGTTTCCATGAATGCAGCGACCCATCGCCTGCTGGAAGCTAAAAGTTTTGCATGCTGGCCTGCAAGAGACTGGCCATCATGGCGATGGGATATGAGGTGACCCTGCCACTTAAAACTCCAAGCATGTGTGGGTTGTAGACAAGTAGCACTACGCAGGTGTCACATGTCTGGCAGAAGGTGATATCTATGCTATTCCTGATATCTCTGCAAAATGCATGCAATATACATGTGACTGGACAGCCTGCATTTGTATCCTCTGGCAACAAATTGTGCAGCAGAAACGCTTCTGCAGGAGTTAAACAGCCGCTTTAAACACGCCGGAGCAGCTGCTGTCAGCCTGCATCGATCTCTGTTCTAAAGTGACACGGAGGTAGTGTAAGCATTGTGTCACAGTTTGAGAAAAGAGCCCGAACAAGGCTGAGGCACTTGAGTTTCTCTCCATCATCCACTTGGAAAAGCTCGGTCAATAGCTGTTTGTTTTTAACACTCCCAAATATTTTTAAAAAAGGCATGTTTCTGTGCGCAAGCGCTGATTGGCTGAATGCTTATAATCCCAAATAAAAATAATTGATCAGAATCCGCTCCGTTTTGTGCAAACAGTGATGTCACAAGGTGAACATTTACCGCTGCAATCCCGTTAGAAATCAGAAAAATAACTCCAAAGTGCTCCAGAGCAGAAATATTAGAGGACCAAGTTAATAAAAACGACTCATCACGTGCTTATCTTGCTTTTTAAAGTGAGTCGGCCAATTAAAACGCTTCTTTTTTATTTATTTGAAGTCATATTTTCAATTTAGAAGTACTTACAGTGGCTGGTAAAGTTTTCCTTTAGCGCGGATCCAAATAGAAAGCAGCGATAAAAACCATCATCCACGCGTGACACGGATCAGCCCGGCTCTGGTCGCGGGACTGGGGAAATAAAAGTCAGTGGGATCGCTGCTCGATCGCGGTCTTTTTTAGTTTCAGCGAGTAGCCCTCCCACTCTGTCATTATCATGACCACTGACAGAGACTTCAGCAAACACCGGGAGGAACACGCTGAAAGCTTTCTTATTAGGGAGAGTTAATGCCCTAAAGGCGGCTCATTAATAGAGCAGGTGCGGGAATGAACCACCGTTTGATGTATTGTGATTTCAGCATTTTAAGAAGGAGAAAGGCCTGAATTGTATGGATTTGTTCGCCCTCGAGGTGCCTTTTCTTTTTTCATTTTTTGTCATCTGTTATGAGAAACTGTCCAAGTAGAGTTTGAAGTGCGCGCGGGGAGAATACAAAAGGTGTGAACAGTGGCTTTTTATCTTCAGCCAAGTCTCACCTGTCTGCTCATGCCCAGCAGCCATGAAATCCATTATGAGTCCTGAGCAGATGATTACCTGACATAATCAAGTGACAGCATTTGGTTTTACAGGCAGCCCTGATCCTATAGGTCACTCAGTCCACTGCAGTCCATTTTTATATTTTATACATAATAGTGGTTTCCAAACAGTGGTCCGTGACCCTCCAAGGGGGGCCCACAAGATTGCAAGGGGTCCCCATAATTTCCTCTGCACTGGGACTGAGAGGTTATCATGATTGTACTAGTAAAATCCCAATACCACATCCAATAGAATAAATAAAACTCTGTATAAAAAAATCATAAATAACATCAAAAAGAAAACACGATTAGTTCATTCACTGCCATGAAAAGTCGTCATTTTAAATCCAACCGTTCACTGCCATTGACGACTACACTTGTCATTTGCATTTTTTTTTACTGTGCGTTGGAACAAGCCCGCACAGTGAGAACAAACATCCCAGCTCTAAAGCTGATCTTCATCCGCATACGTGACACGTCACATGATCAGGAAGCAGAGAATCGATGTGTTAGGAGATCGTTTTGGGCCGCTGTTGTAAAAAAAAAGTGAGACGCGACAAGCTTCTGTCGATCACAATTCGACAACGGATTATGAAAGGACGGATAATGCTCGAAACGCGTGGATTCGTCCTGATGAAAGAGGTGAGTCTCCTCTTTGTTTTAGTAGTTTTGGCGTTGACATCATCCTAGGGCGCAACATTCTGTAACTTTTAACAAAACAGTAAAAACGCTGAAAAACGCTGGCAGCGAAGGGCTTTTCTGATCAGGAAACGGCTGGCAGGGAATGAGTTAAAAAACCATACCATACAACCTTTATTTATGAAGCATTTGAAGATGCAACAGTAACCCCTACTTCACACTGGAAGCATCGGCGGAGCGGAAAGCAGAGGAACGGTTTACTCGCGACTTTTGTTGCGTGCCAGTACACACCGGGAGAATGTTAGCCGTGGAGCGGCTTCTTTGCTTGTGACATCACAAAATCCCTCGCGACTTCAAAGGTCACGATTTGTTTATGCCATCTGCATATAACCCAAAAGAAGCAGATCATGTTTCATATCGCTGTTATATGTCATATAGAATGTTGTTCCTCTCCACTGGCAGGATTAAAGCCATGAAAAATACACCGTGGCTTATCTGGAACGATGCTGGGATAATTTAAGCCGTTAGGTCTCTTGTAATCACGTAATCTACATAGATATGAAATCACATCACTGCAATTGTCTTTTATTTTGAAAATTCCCGGGGATTTTACACTAAAACTGTGTTTGATTTCCTGTTGTGACATGTCCCTGAAGCGTCTCGCAGCAAAAATATAACCTGATCCTATAATTAGATGTGCAGCAGGGCGAGCTGCTTCTGGGATGCGCCTAAAAGTTTCCACGTCGCGGCTGGTTTGAATCACCCCTAATGGACTCCATTTGAAGTTGTGACGTTCCGCTGCTGTTCTAGTATATGTGTGTATAAAGTTTGTGATTAATCACTTGTAATGGGTGTATGCTGGTTGGAGTTGGGTTTGGGGTCATCAAAGGAAAAAGGTTGGGAATCATGGTTTTAAACATCATTTAGAAACTTGATCTGGCCAAGATGCCTCAGAAGTAAAACAACAAAAACTACTAGCATATATAAAGGAAACAACTAACAAAAGAGCATCTACGAGCAAATCAGGGCAGGCATTAGAAAATCAGAGTTTGTCTCTGGAAAATGTTTGCACGAATACGCGTGCATAAATGTAAAAAAGAGTGAACATATCTATGTGTATGTGTTAGGGATTTTATCAATCACCTAATACCTGCAGTCGAAGAGAAAAGAGAGACAACTAACCACACGTTTACCGTACTGCAATCTGGGCAGATCTGCTCACAAAGTGAGGCTCACGAAACTGCAAGGAGATGCTGCCCTGAGAGCTTATTTATACAAGAACAGAGAGATAAGACAGTCTGTGTGAGTGAGAGAGAGAGAGAGAGAGAGAGAGAGAGAGAGAGAGAGAGAGAGAGAGAGAGAGTGTGTGTGTGTGTGTGTGTGTGTGTGTGTGTGTGTGTGTGTGTGTGTGTGTGTGTGTGTGTGTGTGTGTGTGTGTGTGTGTGGGAGTGAGTAAGGAAGAGGTCACAGTGTCTGAGTTGTACAGAAGTTACAAGATGAGCAAAAGTAATACATCTGCATAATGAAAAACATAATCATAATAACCGTATGTAAAAAATGTAATGGGTGGTCAACAATTATAGCTCCTTTTGATTTTCTTTATTTGTTTTTAATAAACACATTACTTTAATTCTTATCTTAGATGTTGGTTCAATGTTTAGATCTGTGATATGTTTACTTGATTGCGATGCAGATAGTACATGCAACACGTGTGCAGTCTTACTGTTGCATCTCCAAATGCTTTATAAATAAAGTCTGGATGGTATGTTTGTTTTTTTGTTGTTTAATCATGTTTTCATTTAGATATTTGTTATTTTTTTCTGTTAAAGAGCAAGTCACCCCCTACCATATTCTTACTTAACTCCCACTTCCTGTTTGAAAAATGCAACAAATGCTGTTGCCCAGCAGACCGAGAGGGCGGAGCCGCTAACAAATACACATACACACAGGCTCACAACGGCATTGTGACATCATATGGTACCAGCCAATGTTCTAGGGTACCTTGTAATGGTTTAATTTACTTGTTATTTAATAAGCCATAAGCCATAAGATTCCATAGTAAATATGAAATCAACCTTATGGATCTGTAGGTACTGTTTAACTAGAAGATTGGAACTTTTTATTGCAAGGATTAGATAACAGCTTCGTATTAACTCAGAGACAACAGAAGAGAGAGTCAAGTTTAAAAGTTTAAAGATTTATTACCAAACAAATTAAAACTAGACTAACTTTAACACTAGATGTATGGTGTAGCTAAGGTGAATGAGACGGAGAATGGTGTAGTGTGGAATGTTGCTCAGAACCAGCAAATCTGAAGACGATTAGTTCTGATGGGAAGTGAAGGTGATGTCTTCGCGCTAAGCTTTGATTAGGAGATTCATAAACACATTCGACACCATTCTGTCGGTCTACGTACCCTTAGCGGAAGTCCCCGTCTAGATCACGAGGTGTAGAGGTCCAGCTTGACCTTTGTGGAGCCGAAGCCTGTAGAAACAGCCGCGGCAGCCGAGCACCAGTCTTGAGATACTTCCGGGTCACGGCAGTTTTGCTGTCATTTAGCGAGACCTAAAGCTGGGTCGTGATGGTTCAGCTTTTATTCTGAAAAGAACCGTTGCAGCAGTTGGAACAGCAACAGATTTCATCCAGCTTGTCGTTGGTTCTTTTGGCTGAAGAGGAAAGTTACGGATTGGCCACTCCGACAACTTCTCTCGAACGCTTTGAACTGGCGTTAAAGATGACGTGGGCATAATTTTATACTTCAGATGTTTTGGTTTATGGTCGAATGAAAAGGTGACAGATTTACCAAGCACCACCAAAACCACGCCTCCGTCAGATCTGGCAGATTCTGATTGGATCAGTAAAGTAATGTGTCATGTCTTAACGCTACGTGAGATCAGTCCTAGTGGAAACATTTAAAGTCATATTACTTATTATATTCTATAGGATTATAATAAAGTAATTTATATTTTGATTTCACAGATTGGTCACATCTTATTATTGACTAACACTTTGTTTGATTAGCTTTATTAAAAATAGAGTTCTTTGATTTATTAAAAGGAGAGAGTCCTTTCTTCATTCATCTCTTGAGCTGGAAAGAAGCAGTTTAGAAGCAAATGCATGAGACCTTGAGGCCATATCTCATGCAGACTAGTTTCTGTGTCAAGAGGACAGGTGGGAAAATGACTTCAATTCAATTCAGAAATACTTTATTAATCCCAGAGGGAAATTGATTGCTGTAGTAGCTCAGAATAATAATAACAATGAAGTAATCAAAGAGTTGTTGTATATTACAATGGCTGTTGGCAGGAAGGATCTTCAGTAGCGGTCAGTGTTGCAGCGAAACTGAAGAAGCCTCTGACTGAAGACACTCTTCTGTTGTCGAACAGTCTTGTGAAGAGAATGCTCAGGGTTGTCCATAATTTTCTTGATTCTCTGGAGAATCCTTCCTTGCATTATCTCCTCCAGCGGTTCCGAAACTGCCAAAACTCTGGCTGAGTCCTTGAAAGGGCTTGGAGTTCCTCCATCTTGTTGGCCAGTGATCTCACATTGTCCATTATGATCGATGGAAGAGGTGGTGTGAATTTCCTCTTTCTCTGTCTCCGTCTTGCTCCTGCTCTGCATCCACGCTTTTGGTGGAAACCAGTAATTTAATTTCGTTACAACCTCTTAGCCAATAGCAGTGGCAGATTTAAATTCAAATGCGGTGCAGAGTTTTTACCTGACAACGGCACAACACTGACAGTTTTAGGCAGAAAATTAAAATTTCAACTAAAATCCACTAAAGTGCAAAATTATTGACTACACGTGTCTGCAGCACGATTAGACACACATTTATATAGTTTATCAGAAAAAAAGGTTGATTTAGGGGTGACTTGCTCTTTAAAGGTGCCTTTTAAATAAACTTTACTTGCTTGCTTACTTGTGCCATGTTGACAAACAATAGAAACAGCCAGTTTTAAAATGAGCAAGTTGTTTTATTTTTGATGCAAATTTACAAGCATCAGCTGTGGCTTTTTTGGGTCAAAT